AATGCCCGTTATTTTGTCTCATCTTATTTCATTGTATTTTTCCCTCTTCCCCTCGGAGCTCACACGCCGGGCGGGCGTTACAGCTGAGTCCCCCGCTCCGCTGGCCCGTTTGCTTGTGACATCTCATGAGGCTCGTGGCGGCTGCCGGCGGGGCGAGAGTGCGGGCTGAGCCCCACAAACTGGGGCTTATTTAAACCAGAGCTAAGCAAACCATGGTTGGGGGGGACGCGGACATATGTTCTCCTCCTGGCTCGCAGATGGGGACTCATGGGAGGAAACGGAAGAGTTGCTTTTCTCTTGAAAGAAAAGGGGCCCTGAGGGGGTTGGGTTGTTTTTTGGGGGGGGAGGGAGTTCTGCTTTATTATTTTCATTTTATTTATTTTTTATTGATTTTGCTACCTATAAAGCCCCCCCCCCTCCTCCCAGAAGCTTAGAGTTGGGGAGAGTGACTGGATTTAGATGTTAGGCTCAGCCAGCTTGCGTTTTGCTTCGTTCTGGCTTAAACCCAGCTATGGTTTGTAAACCATTGCACAATCGCTCGACTCGTACAACCCATTCTGAAAGCCAGCCATGGTTACGTGCAATGCTTCGCCCTCAGCTTGAGTGAACAAAGTACAGCGGCTTTGCTGACGGGCACTGCCACAGGACGCCTTGAGTCACCCCGGCTGTGAAGACCGCGGTGCTTCCCGCAAGCGGCGTGTTGCCCAATCCTACTTCAGCGTGTTGAGGTGGTTCTTTCTCTCACACATATATCCAGCGGACCGGTGCAACAGTCTGGCAAGAGAAAGGATTTGTGAAGAGAAGGGATGCAGGCTGCGGTGGTGGTCTGTAACTAAGCAGAACCTGCGTCTTGCATGCCGATGCGCTACCCGATGTGGTCATCACTGTTCTGTGTTAGTGCAAAGATATTTCTGCCCAGCATAGCAGTGTTTTTCTCTTTTCTGTTCTTTGCTCTTCCAGGAACTGAATACTCACAGGGACCGCGGTAGCATGTTTCTGGTACCATGCAGGACTAGCATTTTTTTTTTAACTTCGTGGTCTTTCCAGCCTTCCAACTATCTTGACAGGTAGGTAGATATTATTCCCGTGGTTCCGAGGGGGCAAAGGTTGGAGAAAACAGGGGTTGTCCAAGACAGAATAAGACTTGAAATGCAAACTTCCTCGTGAATCGCTCCGTTGCTTTGCATTTAAAATACCCAAAGGTACCAGCATCCCTTTGTTTGGAAAAAATAATTCTACAGAAGTCTAAGCTGCTAAGAAAAATCACATGACGGGATAAAACTGGAGAAGCTGAAGTTTGGGCTCGCTGGGGAAAACAGGGCTTCAGCGGTTAAAAGTTCTGGAAAGTTTAGTGGGTTGTGTTAGCAGCAACGAGCTTTGATGTGACAAGCTGCCAGAGTTGCATTGTGTAAGAGGTTTTCTCTCTCTGATGCGTATGCACATAAGCACATTCTTAATTTAAATGGTATTTTCACCACTAACAGGATACGAGATTTTCCAAGCTGTGGTCAAATGGGACGGTGTCTCTATAAAATACTGTATTTTGTCGCTCTAAACCACAGTTTCTATATTAAATTAAAAGATGGAGCAGGAAACACCCCCACATTTTGCTGGTGTGTACAGATCATCCCATTCGTTTTCTAATAGTAAAACTGTTTAAACAAACAAAAAAATCAGGTTATTGTTCCACACGTCATGGTAAAAGTGGTTTACGTTTGGTTTTCTCTTTGTAGAATTTGGTTTGAGAACAACAGACTATGGCTTAGCATGTGTGGGTGCTGCTAATTATGGCTTATTGCCAACCATGGTTAAATAAACGTCTTGGCCTAATGTGGGAAGGAAGTCTGTTTGGTGGGGTAAGCTGAATGGGCTTTTTCTCCTTTATTAAGTGAATAAAGGAACAGATAACGTGAGGCAATAAAAATCCATGTATTAATTTTTCAGGGTTATACCAATGTTGACCAATCACCTAGTCTAAAATAATCTTATGAATAATCCCTGTATAGTGTAAGATTAATAGGAGGGAATGATATGATACAAATTAGCTATAAGGAAAGGACTCAATTAAATTTGTGGTATGGTTGCATGGAATAACAATACCTTCCAAGTGATGTGTCTATTCTTTTCGTGCCATAAAGCTCCATCATAGAGCACAGAGTTCCTTAGAGCATACATAGAGTGTTTTCCTCCACTGCTCTGTAAGTGCAACTGATCGATAAGCATCTGTGGGGGCAATGCAGTTTCCAGGCTGAGGTGCACAGCCAGCCACCGTGCCAAGTGGGGAGGGCAGGGGAATTATTCCTGTTATTCCTTGCAATTCCAAGGTGGAAAATGACAAATGCCGTATCTCGGGTTTCCAACATCTAGGGTTTCTTATGAACAATTGCTGTAGTCCCTTCTTGTATGGTGGTATTCTAGTTAGGACGAATCACTCCAAATGATCAAAGAAGGCAGAAAGGATGGTTGCAAATTTTGTTCCTCACCTTAATACAAAGAGGGCATCTCTTTGTGGGCATCTCCAGGATGGGACGCCTCTGACCTGCAGTCCTCATATTGTGAAGTTAAATGGGGGGTTGGCTGCCCGTAGAAATTGGGGAGCCTAATTCCGGATGCTTTTGCTCTGAAGCACAAACTGGCAAACCACATTTTCTGAGCAGGTGCATGTAACCCATTATGGTTGCGCATGAGAATCCAAGCAATGGGGATTGAGTAAACTATGGTTAGCCTAACCTGGCTGGGTGCATTTCTCACGCATGCACATTCTCAGAAGTACTTTTTTTTTCCTAAACGAATTCTCTCTCTGAACTAATCTTATTCCCAGTCCAATGGCCGTGGAATGGCCATTCTCTCTTCGGAAAGAGGAAGAGAAATGGGTGGAGATGAAAAGCATGTGCTATAGTTTTTTTTTTTTTATTATTATTATTATTATTATTATTATTATTATTATTATTATTTGCTGTGGTTTTGGATCATCCAGGTTATGGTCATGTTGGCAATGATTTACGAGTGACGTCTAGCTTTTTATTTTGCTTTGTTTTTCTAATGGAAATGATAAGACTATAAAGGGGAACTTTGAATGCACATAATTCCTGAAGAGCACTAGACTTCCTTTTTGCTCCTCTTTGCATTTGAGGCATCTGAATCTTTGGACATATCACTGGTTGTGATGACGGAATAGCTTTATCACTTAGAATCCCGTTTTCTGTTTTCCCCAGCTCTTTTCTCTTCAGTTCTGTCCAGACCTCTTTGGAAAGTGGACCATAGCGTTTGACCCCTGGAGAACAGCTAGTCTCTGCAGTCATGGGATCCGGCTTGATCGGTGCATCTGTATTCCTTCTGTGCATTTGGCTATGGGAAGTGAGTTCACAGAACCTCATCAAGGACCAGAACCAGAAGATGAAGCCAACACTCCTGATTAATGAGGTCAATGCAGATAATCCAGGAGAAGACACCATGGAGTATGTGGAACTGTATCACATCAGTGGACAAAGAGTTGCTTTGAATGGATATTATTTAGTCTTCTACAATGGAAAGGGAAACACAGCCTACAAAGTCATGGATCTTACTGGTTTTTTCACAGATGACCAGGGTTTTCTCCTGATTGGGTCTAGCAATATTATCCCGAGACCAGCTGTAATCCTCTCAAAGGGTACAATCCAGAATGGACCAGATGCAATTGCTCTCTATTTTGGGAGAACAGACTTGTATTCAGGCATGCATGTAGACAGTAAAGGCCTGGTGGATGCTTTGGTGCATAAATCTAATACAAAGGACAAAGCAGATGAGTTGGTTCGGGTTCTGACCCCTGGCACAGAACCTTTCTTGGAGGACCCTTTATTCCGGACCATTGATGAGTCTCTGGAGAGGTGCCAAGGGATGGATTCCCAGATATTCTTCCAAGTAGGAACACCAACCCCAGGCTCAGATAACCACTGTGTTCCTTTCTCACATTTGAATGCATCTTTTTTGCTGATCAATGAGGTTAAGGTGGCATCCTCCCCTGGAGACTTTGAGTTTGTAGAGCTTCAAGGTCCCCCTTCCATAGAGGTAAAGGACCTGGTGATGGTGCTGATTGAAGGGAGTACACAAAAGATCTACTTTGTCATGGAGGTGAAGGGCGAAACTTCTCCTGATGGGTTACTTCTGTTGGGTTCAGGACTGTCCAGGATTCCAGGTAGGGCTAAATACTTTCTGTATAACTCCTTGTCCAGGTACAGTTTCTGACACAGGATCCATTGGCCCCCATGATCAGTAGCCATAGGCTAGATCATATATCACACTAGGCCACAACAGTTGGGTTCACGCAACACAATACACCATAATATGGTTTGTTTGAGTTGGCCATAACATGCTATGTGAACCCAGATGCCATGGTTACTAAACCAAGTTTTATATTTTGGGAAGTTTTGTGAACACAGCCAATTATGCTTTATTCACAAGACCATGATTTAGAAACTCATGGCTTAGTTCAGAGTCATCTGCAGGGAGAGATCAAAACAGTCATGTGCATCATGTGAAAAGGGCTGAGGCTTCAGCTGCACAGTCACAGCTGCCATCTTGACTTTTTTGACCCTCCCTGCAGATGCCCCTGGCTTAGTCTATTGTGCGAACAGGCCAATGTAGTTTATTTGATTTGGGCTTTGCTGGATGTGTGAACCACACACCATTATTGCTTATTCTATAAGCACAGCTAAAACAATGGTTTAACACGTTTTACCCAATTACTGTTCTGTTTTTCACATCATGTGAGTTGGTGGCCACCGTCTGGTCAGGATCTTCAGATCACAAAGATGAATAAAATTTCTGAGAATTTCGGGTATCTCCCTCCCTCGAGGCTTTGATCAAATGAGCATGACCTGATCCTCATAATGTACTGAATCATAGTGTAGGTTAATGCCTTTAGTTTAGCACGCTGTGTGAACCCAGCAAGTTGCAACTTATTTGAGAAGCTGTGGCTTAGCAAAACAGCACATCCATAAACTTCATAAATTATGACTGTGTTCACATGACACGTTAAATGATGCGTTACTGCATAAAATGACAGTTGGGCGAACTGGTTCACCATGCTAAGGCATAAGCTGTAATTTATAAGCACAATACATCCCGCTCTACACAAGACACAAGCAACTTTATTTTAGTATACTGCGTGAATCTAGCATTTGTTTCGGAAGCTGTAATCATTCCTCCTCTGATGAAAAAGCTACCCTTGACCCCGCCAGAAGACGCCTTCTCTTTTGGAAGGCGTGCTTGAATCTCACATTCATCTCTTGAACATCTTGCCAGCCCAAGGCTGAAGCAAGTTACATGTCTGGAGAGTGAGACTTAGAAATAATGATCCTATAATCCTTCTCTTAACCAAGTTGGTCTGATGTGCTGGAATTTTACCACCATGCAGTTCTCCTCTGCTCTTCTAGGCTGCTCTCTAGAAAGATAAACTTCAGCTCCCAGAATTCTCAACAACAACCATAATGGCATGGGGAATCTGGGAACTAAAGTCCACCGATTTGGAGAAGTCTGTCTATAACCCGACACTCTCCTAGCACTGATTTTTTTATCACCAAAATGGAGGTGGAATATGCATGTGGAGTAACATACAGGCTTCCTTTAAACGCTACATAAATTTTCTCTCTCTTTCAGGGGGTGCAGGTCATACGCAGTTCCTCCAGAATTCCAGCACCCCCCTTCTCAAAGCAGGCACCAACGCCGTTGCCCTGTACCGGGGAACCGTCAGCCACTTTGGGGTGGGCTCTACTGCGGCATCAGCCTCAAACCTTCTGGATGCCTTGGTGTACACCACCCTCGAACAGCCAGATTCAAAGCTGCAGGACATCTTGACCCCTGGGAAGCCTCTCTTCTACGTGAGCAAACAGTAAGGCAGAGAGATGCAAGGAGGAATGTCCCGTTAACCGTTGTAGAAGAGGGCGCACAGCTGCTGAAACAGATCCCCAAATTCTAGGACTAGAAAACGAGGGGCAGAAGGAAATGTGGGAGCTGCTGCTGTGGGGTCCCAATACGCATTTATGATAAAGCACAATGATCAGGAACATCCAAAGGGAAGTTGGGGGGAGCGCTGCTAGTCTGATTCATGTTGCAGCCCGATTTATCTGTTGGTTGAACGCCACCCCTTAAAACCACTCTAGGAAAGGTTTCCCGGCCATTTCTTCGGCAGGGAGGCTAGAAGGTTTATTTATTTACTGGTAGTCCCCAGTTTAAGAACGAGTTGCGTTCCCAAGGTCTGTCCTTAAGTCGAATTTGTATGTAAGCCCGAACAGTATTACTGTATAATACTTTATAAGTAGCATTGTGTATTTAACTTGAACCATTGTGTATTTAACTCGAATCATTGTGTATTTAACTTTTACTACAATAGGCTCTGTTCTTAACTATGGGGCATCCTTAAATGGGGCATTCTTAACCCAGGGACTACCTATACCATGAACGTGCTGTAGATGTGCCCATAAAATAGCTTGCAGGGCCCATTCCATTTAGCAATACATCTCCCATGACCATTTTGCGGAAGAAAAACTATTAAAACTGTTTCGGCCATTTCTCTACTTCTCACATTCTCTTCCAGCCGGTCCCTTAGATTAATTATGGATGTTGCTCTTCCCTCCTATTCATTTTCAACAGATCCCAGCAGGAGGGGGCATCTGTGAGCCGGTGCGTGTGCTGTTCTGTCACCCGTGATCCCTCCTCCTATGCGCTTGGCAAGCCCACACCTCTGCAATTCAATGACTGCCCGAAGAAGCGCTTTGGCCGAAAAGTTTCCTTGTGTTTTCAAGTCGCAGGTAAGTGCTGCCTAGAGGTAGTGAAGGACCTGTGAATTGAAATATGGGATTGCACCAAACATACCGTAAGGGCACGTGGGAAAGACCTTCGGGGACGGGGCCAAGAGACGCTGCCAAGGGAATGGTCAGATAAGAGACAGCATAGCCCACAGCTAGATAATGGATGGGGCAGGAGGCTCAGAAGAGAGCCTCCCTAGTTTTTTCTGGCTGTAAAGGAGATGAGGGGGGAGAGAATTGTACTTTCAGATTTGCAAAATTGATGTCAGCGTTACTAGGTAGATCAGACAGGAAACGTGACAGATGAGCTAATTCTACTTTCTTGTGAAGCTTTATTTAGAATCTTGCAAGTCTGAAAGTACAGTTCTCCCCCCGTTTCCTTTACAGCCCAAGAAACTAGGGAGGGTCTCTTCTGAGCCTCTTGCCTCACCCACTGTCCAGCTGAACGTTCCCTTGGCAGCGTCTCTTGGCCCAGTCTCTCAGGGTCTTTCCCACATACCATTACACATACCTTAAAGGGGCTATTTTATACATTGCCCTGTCATGGTTTGTTTAAGTGCAGCTTGCTGATGAAACCATAGTGACTGGATTCATGCAACATACTAAACCAAAACAAAGCAAGCCACCTTACGATTTACTTTAGACCAATGTTCAGCCCAGTAGTAATGGTTACTTTGAGCTTGCTTTCCAAATTATATCATATTGCTGTACAGGAGAGATATTTTAATTGACGTCACTACTGTGGAAAGAACGGTTAAACCTCTCTCCTGTGGATGGTTATCCAGATTTTTTTTTAAAAAAAAACATGTTTCCTGTATCTTGAATTAATTAAAAAAAACTTACATCGTTGCTAAATTTAGTTTAAAAAATAGCAAGTTTGATCCCAGGGGATGAAAGTCTCCAGTTGGTTTTGTCATTGATTCTTAACCCAGCTTAACCTACTCAACTTCAAAGCATTGTTGGAAGGAGACAGTGAGGAGGGCAAGGAACAGCTGAGTCCTGCGTTCTGATCTAAAAGCCTGAAAATTTTGTCCTCTTTCTAGCTGGACCAGGGTGCATTACATAAAAAAAATAAAAAACAGGCAGAGCTTCAATTGTGCTACTGTGTCTGCCATCTTGATTTTATTGACCATAATCTCTGGCTGGACACCGAAACCCAAAAGCAGGCTATGAGTCCTGGATGGTCTGCTTTGATTGCATCTGCCTACTGCACCCTGGTAGGGGTGCCTCATGAGAGGCGCAGGCTGACCAATTTGGGTGGTACCACACTCACTTTTCAGGTCCACAGCCTTTCCTTGAAGGCAGGGAGGGTGTAAATGCATTGAGCAAACTAACTGGAGACACAGATGTGGTATCTTCTCCATCCCTTCTGCTGATCTTCCCTCTGTGTCTTTTCTATCTTGAGATTGTCAGCGAAAAGCTCAGGATGAAAGCATGGTACAAGGAGTTTTGGCCCAGTCGCTGGAGAAACGATGCAACTGCAGCTTTTCCCCTGCTTATTTCAAAGGTAAGCCAAGGGGTTGTTTCTCTTTGGGCTTTTCAGTTCAAGTGGTTAAAAAACCATCTCTGAAGGAACCCACAAAGGCGGTGGCTCCATGTTTCTGCAAAACCCTTGACCAAGATCTGTAACATCCCCACCCTGGCTAGACATCCCTGGAAAAGCTAACAGATTCATGTAAAAAGTCATAACGCGGTGGTTGAAACCAAAGAAAGGAAAACTTGATGGTGTTCTTTCATGGCTTAGTCTGTTGCGGAAAAGAGGATCAGTTGGCTGGTTCATTCTATTGTGTAAATCTGGGAACAGGGTGATTTTGGTAACCAGATTAAATGAGTTGTCTGAACAGAATGGTTCAGTTGATGAGACGACCATTTGTCTTTATGACTATATTATTTTTTGATTTACCCCCTGCTCTTCTGGTGCCAGTCTGGGAGATTCTGGGAGTTGAAGTCCACCCATCTTCAAGTTGCTCAGGTTCGGAAACACTGGGTTGAACGCTTTATTGCAACTCAGGGATTTAAGCAAAAAGCCAGCACGGGAGACAGACTTCAAGCCTAAGTCTCTTTTCTGGGGCTCAGACGTTTTCAGTTCTTGGCCCTTTCAGATAACTAAACCAACAAGCCCGCCATGCCTAGATACAGACAACAACAATAAATGGGTGAAAGACTTCATCCCTTTACAGTCAATTGCCATAGCTTCCGCAGCTCCAAATTGGATCTTCCTTGCTACCATCTGCGATACGAATCCGCCAACAAAAAGCGAATTGTTTCAGTTAGCATTTACTGGGGGTGGGGGGGATCTTCAAGAGGGCCCCTCCTGCAGATTTAGGAGCTAGAAGGGTTTGTAACCGGACAGGCAGTCCATAGATAGTCAGGACCTAGCTGTTTAAGCCTCTGTAAGTCAATAGTGACATGTTAAATAGTATCTGGGGAGCAGACTGCAACCTAAGCAAATCTTTCAGAGCAGGCATGATACGATTCTTGGCTCTTGCAGCGGTCAGCAGACCAGCACTAGTTACAGTTTCCAGATGCTCTTCAAGGCTATGAAACCAAGGCATGAAGAACCATCACCAAATCCGGTTTGCAGCTTGCCCATTAGGCACAGTTGTACCTGAAATACATATTTTTTTAAGTGGGGAAGCTGTGATCCGGAGACTTGTGTGTCTACTTCTCAGTCCCTGTCCATAGGCTGAGTATAAAGAAGGAGTTCCTTGTGCTTCCTTATGTGTAAACTGAATTTTGGCTGGCGTGTGCACTGTTTGAAGGGGGAAAAAAAGGGAATGTGCTTTCAGAGGCTCCAACTGAGGTGCTCATTAAAACAAAACAAAATTGAGGACTAATAAAGGGTTGTAAGTTGTAAGGAGTCACTGGGAGTGGACAGCATACAAAAGTAATGCATAAAAAGAAAAAAATTAAATTAAAAAAAGTGATTTTCGCTCCTCTTTCTGTTTTCTTTTCCATTGTCCTTTCACCCCTCTGTGCACAGATCCTGTTTTAACATGTGAAGGCAGAGAAATGGTTTTCACTGCACTCCTGAGCGCCCGATCAGCAGAGCAGCTGGACCGCGAGTTGCAGGCCCTCTCAGTCTTGGTGAAGGGTGAGGAACTGATGCACTTTGGAAACCAGAACAGCAGCGTAGCCATTAAGGCTTGTTCAAGCGATGCAAATGGGACAGACACACTGCCAGGTACAGTAGTGCAATGGAAGGGGGAATGCAAGGAAGTGTGGCTCTCGGGAATTTTTTTCCCCTCCCCAGAGCACATACAGGTTTGTCATCACCATCTCTTGGGACAGAAGAATCACTTGGCCTTATTATAAGTGCGTGCAGTGATAATAGGGGCCTTCAAGTTTTACGTTGTGGCAGATCAGCATGGGGAGCCAGAAGTCAGAAGGAGGAAAAAGACCTTCTTTGGTTCTGTTTCATTCAAGTGGTATTGATGGCAAACTCTGTAAAATTGTGTCTAATTGAAAATATGAGATGTCAGAGGTGGTTCCCAGACTGATAATGTTTCAGGAGACCGTTATATAAACAGCCAGCTGCAAGCTTCCCCATTATCACTGAAGAGGCCCATCTCCTCACCAGTGATAGGAAGGCAATTAGAAAGAGAATTAGAAAACATCCACCCTAATAAGTACAAGGGTACATTGCTTCTAGAAAGGAAATAGTTCCGTCGCTTTTAGAAAGGAAATAGTTCAGCTGAATTCTTGTAACCCGCTTCCACCTATCTCAGTGAATCCTGCTAAGATGAGAGTCTTGCTTAGAAAGAAATGTCTTTTGATTTTAAGTAGCTACCTTAGAGCCCACCTCAAGGTTGCATGTCTCTTGAAGGGGATTTCTTAATAGGTATTTAACGCTGAGTCTACATACTGAGTTGTGTGATGATTAAATAGTCTTACAAATCCAAATGGAGTTAGCCCATCTGTGGTTCCATGTGTTGTGGAACCAAGTTGTTTAGGCGTCATTCATACCACGTGCTGTTACGTTCACAAAATGTTATGTGAACACATTAATTGTATTTTGTTTATCGAGGGTTAATGTGATGTGTGAGCCCTGCTAATTGAGGTGGGATCAGGAAACCCAAATCAGGGTCTCCATTTCAGCCAAGAAAATCACTTTCTCTCTTCAGCGATCAGGAAAGAAACATTAGCTAATCACCTAGAATAAGATTCTTGGATGTTCAGTCTGAGGTGACAAGGTTTGGCTCATTGCAGGACTAACTTCAGAAGAACCAAGGACAACCAGAGAACCTCCGACTCCAGCCCTGGAGCTGCTCATCAATGAGGTGAACGCGGACAATCCGGGAGCCCGAGAAGACACGGAATACATTGAGTTGTTCTACCCAGGACAAACACCATTTTCACTCAAGAACTACTGGCTTGTTCTTTACAATGGCAAAAACAACTTAGCTTATAAAGTCTTGAACCTGACAGGCTACTGGACCAACGAGTTGGGCTACTTCCTTATAGGGAGTGGTGGAGTGACCCCCAAACCCTCACTTGTTTTGCCAGATACCACCATCCAGAATGGTGTAGACGCTGTAGCGCTCTACCGCAACCCCAACAGCCTGTATAAAACCAACATGCAGGTGACTGTTGACGGGCTAATTGATGCTGTGGTGTACAGAGCCCGGGGTTCAGAGAAGGCTGACAAGCTTGTGGCTCTTCTCACTCCGGGGCAGAATGTCCTCCATGAAAATGACTCTCATAGCACTGAAGACGAGTCGATCAGCCGATGTCTCAGCCTAAAGCCTAGAGACTCCAGGAGCTTCCAGGTAAAATGGCTGAGGTTGAATTTGACTAAGAGGAACCACAGGGATCAGCAGAGATCAGCCAAGACTCCATCTCTGCCTGCATTTCTTTTTTACTCAATCTTGGTTATGTTCATCTAACATGCCAAGTCATAATTTACTTTAGCATGGTTGGTTGAGTAATTGACTGGGCTAATGACATGTGTTATGCTGTAAACTATACTGCCCAGCTCATTTACTGACTGGCTTCATGCAACTCATGAAGCCACACAAGCCGCAGGATGGTTCTGTGCAATGTCTAACAACCCACCCAACTCCATTTTTGAGAAACAGCCCTGCTGTATCACTGTTAGCCGTTCTAGCAGAATCAAGGCATCTCATCAACTTGAACTCCAGTTGATGGAGGTGGGACAAGCTTAGAAAGAGGCTATTGAGCGTAAGTCCTCCTAAATGGGCTTTCTGGGAAGAAACAGGATGTGGGCTGAGTTAGTCTTTGGGTTTAATCCATTAGGGTCCTGTTTGTGTTGGCATTCAGAAAGAATGTACCCCCAACTCCTGAAAATGAGGTATTAGGTTAAATAGGAGGTTGCTTATCATGCTCTGCTTGAGTGGGTTTCTCAGTATCTGGTTGATACTGGAGTACGTGGACATTTTGGTCTCATTTATTCAGAAGAACTCTTTTTCCATTCCAGAACAATATCCTCCCCAATATTCATGCAGCTCCCATTCTTGTGATGTTTAGGAAGCTACTAAAAGCCTGGTAGTAGCTTTTAGTTTTCAAGCCCACTTTAGTTATGTTTGATTTACAGCTGGGTTTATTATTCTTCTGGTCAGCCACAATTTCTTTTTCTGTGTATTGTTTCTCTTTTTATCTGTAAGCTGTCCAGAGTCCCCAAGGAGTTGGGCAGCCTTGAAATTGGATAACTAAATGAAATAAATCCCTGCCCTTCGATTTTTTTCTCCAGTGCTAAATTCTGAAAATAACTCTATGGAGTGGTTATACGGAGCACTCAGTGGGGGAAAGTGGTTTTAGAGGTTAGAAATCTAAAAATTAACTTTTAAAAATGAACACTGCACATTCATATATTTTTGGATGACTTCCTCTGCCCAACTCCCAGGTGACTCTAACAACGCCTCTTCGTGAAAACGCGTGTGCGTACTTCAACTTGAATTCCACAGAGGAGATGCTCCATAATTCTTCCACTGTCATTAACGAAGTGGGCATGGCCAATGACTCACTTCTGTACAAGTTCATTGAACTGAAAGGGAAGCCGGGAAACAGCTTAAAAAAATACACATTGCACTTCTTCTCTGGAGATCATCGCTGGCCGTACACCAGCATTCACCTGCAAGGCGAATTTGGGAGCAACGGTCTTTTTGTCATCATGCCAGGACAAATGTCCCAGGGTGGTAAGACTAATGGTATGTTGCTGGCCCTAGTAAACTCTTCTGTTCACAGAGGCTTCTTTCCATGTATAACTATTGAGACTGGGTCCAAATCCCAAAGGGTGGAGAACATGAAAGCGATCACTTTAAAGCTCAACAAGATGGACATTATGATCTTGAGCATTTAAACTATTAAGAACTCTACTAGGGTATTTCAAATGGATGTACAGTATACCAACTCATATACCACAATTTCTTAAGTGTTCCTACCAAGGCTATGCTGCTCCAGTTGTAGATGAGCTCAAATTTCAATGCTCTGAGGATTAAAATGGAAAATGCTTCAGTGTTATATGAGCCTATCAGGTAGAACATTATTTATAGTTTTGGATGTCTCATTGCAAATCTGTACACAGTAAACTCTCAGTTTAATGGACTAATGGGAGGATGGGTTGTCTGTTAAAACCCAATGTCCATTAAATCTAAATGTGATTTTACATATAAATATTTTTTTGCATTTTACATGCATGGAGTGGGATTTGACATGCTTGTGTTTTACATATTTTGTACATTTTATCCATGCATAAAATGGTGGACGGGTTTTTATCTGTTCACAGAACCATGTTATGCATGGAGAGATTTTGTCAACTGCTTCCAAGGATCCATTAAATCAAGGGCTTACAGTTTACTGAGTTGAAACAAGGAAAAGAGTAGGTAGTGGAAAACATTTAAAAATTGAGATGTTATGCCATTGAAGAAGCAAACATTGTTAAAAGTATATTGAATGCAGCAGGAATGGGGTTCTTTAGAACTGTGTGTGGTAAAACAAAATAATGAACGGGTGCAGAATGAACATGGATTGAATACAGAAGTGAGTAACCAGTACCAAGTTGTATGTTACAAGTTAGCAAAATTACAGATTTGTTGAGAGGGGAAAATTTTAAATCAGTTAAGTCTGTTGAAGCTGTTTGGCAGTGGGTTGGTCCAATTCACTTGTGTTCTAATCAGCAGTTACTTTCCTCTGTTATTTTTTAATGCTGGTCCCTCCTTAACTTTATCCCATCTGTTTCCAGAGCAGTTGGTGATGCCCACTCTCTGGAATCACCCATCCTCAAAGCAGGAGATCCTAACGGTGGCCATATTCAGCCATAAAGTGCGACTTCCTTATGGTACTCTAAACATTGCAGAGAAAGTAGAAGATATTTTGATGTGGAAGCCTGGGATGATCCCTCAAATCTCCTTTACATATGGGAAAAGAGAAAGGTGAGGAACTTGTGTTCCTATCTTCTTGATATCCCACATTTCTTTCTGTAGTACTTAGGCATATGTGATTCTGTCTCATGAGCTGGTTTTACTTAGTCAGTGGTAGGGCTGGCATGTTTGCAAATCCCCAAACAGGCAACAATGCAGAAGAAAATGGTTTAATCCAAAACAATCCATCCGTGTCAGTTTTGGGCTGCAAATATCAAAACCCAGTCAACTGTGAGTCAGTTGCCAAATCCCGATCATACACTGATTGCTCTTTGGAGAAGAATGAACAAGGGCAAACCTGTTCACTTCTCCCCTCACTCTGAGTTGGCTTTGATGTCCTTTCCCAGTCAAATCTCACTGGATACGTGATGTCATGATGACTTTATTGTATGGATTATGTCATCACCACTTCTGGCAGAGGGAATGTGTAGTCAGTATGTGGTTAACATAGTGGATCAGGGGACATCGCTGCCTGTGAGGGAAAAAAATCATGCTTAAATGACAAATGAAGGAGGTAGGTGTATGTGAAGGATGGGGCATTGTAATGGTATGTGGGAATGACCTTGGGCAATGTTCTTTCAGACTTGCAAGATTCTGTAAATATAACCTTACAATAAAGATAGAGCTAGTACTCCTGGGTGTGCTTCTTGTCTCGAAGGGCTTACATCAATCTTGCAAGTCTGAAAGTGCATCTCTCCCCCCTTGCCTTCATAGTCCAAGAAACTAGAGAGAGTCCCTTCTGAGACGCTTGCCACACCCCCATTTCTTCTGCGGACTCAACTGACGCTTATCTGACTGTTGTCTAGTCTGCGGCTCTTCCCCCTGTCTCCCAAGGTCATTTCCATGTACCGTTACAGGCATTTATTGAAATCCTTCCCCATAACCATCACCATGATATCTGCTTGCAAACGTTTGGTCCCCACGTAACGTTTGCTACAGAACCTTTTGTTTTTGATTTTTGTTTCCTTGCAGGATGTGGTCTTTAAGTCGCTGCCCTTCCTGCAGGGAACCCTTTCTCATCTCTGACCCTACTCCAGGCTTGGAGAACAGCTGCCCTCAAGAGCTTCTGTCCTTGGATCTCAGAATGTGCCTGCTGATCCCTAGTAAGAGAAGGCGTCTTCTCTCTCTCTCGTGCAAGTGGGGAGAATGAGGACAACCCCTGGTTCCTTTCCCAGACAAAGGCACGATGCTACAGACGCACCCAAGAAAAAAAGATCTTGGTATTGTTGGGCCATGCCAAACCCCATGCTAGTTCTTTCGTGTGTGTGTATGTGTTGTGCCTTTGAGTCAGTTTTTGATTCCTGGTGACTGGGTGGACTGGTCCCTGCACTTTTCTTGACAAGGTTTTCAGAAGTGATTGGTTCTGGCCTTCTTCTTCCCAGGGCTGAGAGAGAGGGACTGGCCCCAGGCCAGCCAGCTGGCTTCATGCCTAAGGCGGGACTAGAATTCATGGCCTCCTGGATTCCAGGCTGGTGCCTTAACCACTACCCCAAACGGGCTCTCTTCATTGTGATAGTAGCCTCATCTATATTCAGAGAGAGGGACTGGCCCAAGGTCACCCAGCTGGCTTTGTGCCTGAAATGGGACTAGAACTCACGGTCTCCCGGTTTCTCGCTTGGTGCCTTAACCACTACACCAAATTGGTTTTGCCCATGACACCAAAAAATAAAAATAAAAATGGGACTTTTAACTTGTAATTAAGTAATGCATAACTTTTTGAGAATTGGTGCCTGAATTTGCTGCTGCTCTTTTTTTTTTTTGCTCTTCCTTCCCATCTCTCTTTCATCTTGTGTCATCATTTCTGTTATAAATCCATGCATGGGGTCTTGCTTTCTGCGATTGACACCCTTTTTTAATTGAATGGCAAAGATAAAATGCTACAAATAGAAGGAAAATAACTTTAGAGGGGTGAAGGAAGAGTAGAGGAAGCCCTTTGGGTAATTTAAGGGTTTTCCTTTTAAAATAGCCTTTTGCTCATTAAAAGAGCAAACCCCTAGTCCTTTTCACCATGTTTGCATGGGATGAGTCCACCTTTTTTATACCTTTTTAATGTATGGTTTTTATGTCGTTCTTTGTTTTTATATAGTTTGTAACTGTTGTAAGTCGCCCATAGTCATATATTTGAGATGGGTGGCCTTATAAATTGAAATAATCAATCAGTCAATCTCTGCTGTTAGACTTCACCCACTTCATGTTCTCACCCTGCCTATTCTTCTCTTGTTAGACTGTTCCTTCTGGCATCAGAATCCATCGCTACGAGCTCGCTTCCGGCAAACATTAGTACAATCCATGGAAGACAGCTGTTTATGTGGTATCTCTCTGTGTTCTCTGCAAGGTCTGTGTCCCATAAATCTTTAAAAAAAGGTGTAACATTTCCTGATATTGCTTCTTGCAAACATTTCCGGGGAAAATGCAGTCCTGCCATAAAAGGCAGTCGATGTGAATAGTCTTATTACTGTCTACCTACTCCTCTGTTTCTGAATTTTTCAAGCTAGGATGGGAAATCTGTGGCCACCCAGATTTTAATGTATATCAGTGCTCATCATTCCCTGCCAGAAAAGCCAAATGTCAGGGATGATGGAAGTTATTATCCAACAACTTCTGGTAGGACACAGATATTCCATCCTTGGTTTCAAGCAGAGACGCATGAGCTGGTCTCCTCAAGTAGCCTTGGGTGTGGTGCCCGGAGCTCCTGTAAAAATTGCCCACTATCACATTTTGCAATTTTTAATGGGAAGGGAGAAATTATTCCCTGTACAGGGAATAATCATATTGCCTGTGTTTATCATTCAATTTTAAACTTAAAATTGTCTGCCCCCTCTTATACAGAAGAGAATCAAGGTGGTGTTATTCTGAGTTTCTTTCTCACTCCTTCTTCCTTCCCAGGGCTAAGTGAATGTTTACCTAACCATACTTGTACTCCTTCTTCAAGATTAACTCTGTATTCCTCTGTGAAAGTCAAATACAATATTTTTGTCCTGGCTTCTCCTTTTAGAACTGTAGTCTTTCCTCCCCCCCGACCATTGGTCTGTTCCTGCTTTACAGAGATGCTTCTTCGCACATTTACAAGTACACCCCCCTCCCAACAATCTGAATGGGATGATCATCTGAGTCCAATGTGTAAAAATTCTAAACCTTCTTAGGGAGGGGATTCAGCAGTCTTTCTCCTTATTGTAGAAAACAATGTTTATTTTTAAATCTGTGCAGAGACCCAGGCACCAGGAGATGTTTAATGATGGGAGTCATAAGGAAAAAAAAAGAGCTGGATATTTTTATAATGTTGAACTGTGTAATTGTACAAGATTTACTTTCAATTAAAGCTGAGCAACTTGTGGGCCCAGGGCTGCACATAGACCCCAAATCCTTTTCATGGCTTTCCATCCAAGATCAAAGACGATCAACTAGGTGCCGCTCTTTCTGCAAACAGGGAAATGGGGAGTACGTTACCTTGTCTTAACCAGAGTGGCTATCCATCTCTCTTGTGGTCTTTCCCCAGGACTGAATTTCACCTGCTCTAATACCACACTGGAGGTCTCTGGTCAGGTGTGGGCTGCAGATGTGGAACAGCTGCGGGTCCTTATCCAGTGGCAGTCGAATTTCTCCTCCTTAGGTCCCCACCCATTTTCAGTGGATGGAATACTGCTCAAAGCTAATGCACCCTGTACACCTTCCAGTGAAGCGGTACCAGTATCTAAAGGTGAGCCAGTAGGGTAGTGACCAAGATTTGCCAGGGGGCAGGGGAGGGAAGGAAGTGACCAAGAAGAGCCCCAGGTTCTTCAAGGTAAGAACTCTTGCTCTTCCAGGAGTGATAGCTAGAGGAAATGGTTTCTCCAACCCTTCCTCTCTGCATATGGATATGATGCATTCAGCATATCTGTGGGCTATTCTAACAAGCACCCCCTACCTGATACTTGATCTAAAATGCAGTTGGAGGTCATTCATTTTTCAGTTTCCAGAAGAAAGTTGTGGACCTCATAACCACGGAGAAAATCTGAAAATGTGCCCTGAAACCGATGAGGTCACATTTATTTATTTTATTCATTCAGAAGGCCAAGCAATATAAAATGGCAAACCAAACAGGATAATTAAGAACCAAGAGGAGGATTAAAAGGTGAATTCTTTCAGCAGGTTGCAATTGGGCCCTTGCACTGTCCAAGGACAGAAATTGTACTTTGTATATTTGAGACTGTGGGAATTGGACAATTTGCTTCATTTATTTTTTATTGATTTTTTTAATGTAAGGTTTATAGAGAAAAACCCTGAGGATCAAATTATTAATGATGTGTCTTTTTTGCTATACTCTGACCTTGAAAATAAGTTGTCATGCGATTTAAAAGGACTACAGTTAGAGACCTCATAACTGCTAATATGTGTGGCAATTCATCCTCTACCAACATTTTAAAAACTATTTATTCAGAAATGAGAGTTGGTAACAATATTCTGAAAAGCTCAGTACGTATGCCAAAAACATTGTTCTGATTTAATTTTATTGGAACTTTTGCATTATGGCTGATTCTATAAACCATTAAAAGAAACTATGGATGAACCCAGCCCTTACATTAATAATTCCTTCTCTTTCTCTCTTTTTCTACAGCTTCATTTCAAACCTGGGAAATGGTTCTTTTGGTCTTGGGCTCCATCTTGCTAATACTGCTGTTAATCGGCGCAACTTTCTATTGTATGAAAAGGTAAAATACAGCTGTTTTCAGGATTTATGTGGTGGCCAAAGCAAGGAACTAAAAGATGAACCTACCAACATTGGCCCAGCATGAACCCCTACTCCATCATCTTGCATGGGCACTATGGTGCAACTCAACATCTCCCAGTCTGGCACCCTCTTGATGTGCTGGACAACCGTTCTCATTCCATCCAAGTTGCGCCTCCAGTGATTGGGTGATTGATATTGTTGTCCAGCACAGCTGGAGAGACAGAAGTTGCAGAAGGCTACTTAGAGGGGAAAAGAAAGAAGTTCCCCAAATGCAGGAACATATTTTAGTAGGTACTAAATTGTAACTGAGCTTAATGGGTTTAACTTAAAACCCTCAGTTGGGATCACCATAAAACAAAGCTGGGCACTGATCTGTATTTTCCATACAAAAAGATTCAAAGGAGCGACAAGGCGTTTGTTTAGAGTCCCTAAAAGAATGATGATTGGCAAAACGGCGGTGGCTTCAAGGGTGGCTCAGGATGGAGCAATCACCATTGTGCACTCTAGAGGTTCTTCTTCCTTGCACTACACAAGTTTGTGCACGCACCACAAAAACACCCATGTGCTTTGCAATATCTGTCCCTCCAGTTTTTGGGGTGTTTTTTTTTTTTTTGCTACATTTCCGATATTCTTCCCCACAGTTTAAGTTCCAGCTTCCTTGGTGCTTTTGCTGACTCTTTTTTTCCATTCTTATAACGGGGATTTCAGATTTCAACATGTCCCTGCTTGCCCTGGATTAGGAAATAAAATGCGCTCAACTTCCTCAACGGTACCACTGAGGATTCAAGACAGTCGTTGCCTTTGTACATAAAAAAAAAAAAAAGGCAGAGATTGGCTCCAACTAAACTTCTGGGGACTATATGGGTGTTTTGACATAGTCTTCTTCTAGAATGATGCTTAGATGCCTTAAACATCTGTTGTGACAATCAGAGCCTTGTTAATTTAGGAAGCAGCCTGTTCCAATCCTCTCCCCATCTCATTAACCAAATAAAAGTCACACTGCTCTCCATAACCTGCTTCCTTCTGGGTTTTCCAGACCGCAGAATTACAACAACATTGAATTGAACGATCGCTGCGAGATTATGTCAGACATCTGATTCTGCCAGGAAGAGCCTCCCTGGGAAAAAGCTATAATGAAGAGGTAAATCGCAGAGGAACTTTGCAGCCAACTGGCCACAACATAAATGGATCCAAATCCTGGGAGTATTTATTCTGAGGATGTTTTTGTTCTTGGATGGGATGTGTGAAGCCCACCTCTTTGTTTCTACAGCATTTCTCACTGCCATTATGTATTGGGTGAAGAATTGATGAGGTACCTTGGTATTTTCCCCACCCACCATGAAAAAAAATGTGTAGGCAGGGTGATTATTTTCCACCCCATAATTTGTCAGTGGGGGTTATTGCTCAGTCTTTCTTGGAGGCAGAAGGCCTCACCTTCAGGTCTAGTAGATCCAGGATTTTGTTTTCAGAAAGAAAAGGTGGGGGGGAAGGTGGGGGGAGATCTGCTTGAGTTGGCTCATCTTCATGGATCGTCAATCTGATCTAAGGTAGCTTCACAGCAATGGACAGTCTTGGTTGTCGTGTGTGTTGCGAGTGGCAATGAACGCCCCAAATGTGTTTGCAGAAGGGACCTATCTTAGGGGACGGTGCCTGCTTTCCGTGCAGAGAAAGGCTCAGATTCATTTCCTTGTTCAGGAAATAGGAAAGATCAGTTTCACAAAGACTTGGTTCAGGTCACCTCTTGAGCTAGGGGCCAGGGAGTAAACTAGACATAAGGCAGGTTCCTATGGTCACCTCCCTCTTTCTAAACAACAAAAGTCAGTGTCTAGGCAAAAGCAAATAAATAAATAAATAAATAAATAAAAGCCACCCTTGTCCAAACATTCCATTCTTCCCCAGAATTAAACTAAGGAGTTTGTATAGTGAAAAGTTGTTTGCTGTCTTAACATTGCTCACATAGCTACAAGCTCTGCAGACTTGAATTTCTTGCTCACACCACAGCAGAAATAAGAATGAAAAGCCACGGCACAAAGAGAAGACAGTGTAAATTGTGATGGCGCTCTCCCACAGGGGCAGAGCCCAAATTTAGCATCCCCCAAATGCTCTCCTCCAGAGCCAGCTTCTCATGTCTCTGCGGAAGGGAATATACTTCTTCCTTGTCTTCTGCCCTGAGCCTATGCGTCAGCCCTTCGAGATAGGTCAGGTGAGGAAAAGGCACTACAAGCCATAGCAGAACTCTACTTTATTGATAGCCTCCCCCTTATACCAAAGAGAGTCAAGGCGGGGCAACCTTGAGTTTATTTCTCATGCTTTCCTGTTTTCCTGGGCTAAGCTCATGTTTTGCTAACGGTTTCTCCATATCTTCTCCAAGGTCATTTGCTGTGCTCTTCTTCACTGTGCCACCTCCCCTACTGTTTGATAAGTTTTTCTGATGACTGGACACAAAGCACACCGACCACTTGAAAGGTTCTTTACTTTTGAAATTCCCAGCACCCTCCAACACTCTAGATATTCTGGGGGAACAAGAACTCCCTAAGAAATGCCAAACTTAGAGCTTCCAAACAAGAGAGGTTCTAAACATCATTTTCTTTAGCAAAGCAAGGAGGCTACAGTAAGTCACTAGTCTCTTGCATCTGGGGCAGGCCTGGAGCAAGCATCTGAGGAATACAGAAAACTTCTTGAGGGGATTGATCAAAGAAGTATAGACCTTGCACACTATACAAGGCAACAAAGCAATTGCCTACAGTCGACACAGAACAGCAGATAAGGCCGGAATATTCTTGGAGCACGAGAAGCGAGTAAGGCACGCTTGGAAAGATAATATAGCATCTTTGATTCCAGGCTGCATCAGGGTTGTATTGTTATTCTAGCAAGTTTGCAACCTGCCTCTTTTGCTGCAATTGCAGAAGAAAGGGATAAGGAGCCAAGATGGCACATTCCCAAGGCCATATATGTCAGTATGCTGTCAAATGAACATACAGTGTTCATTGTATATGGATATAGTATATATCAAAAAGGTATGCAAGGAAAGTTCATAGATAGTGTCTTCTAGTGGAGATTCTGCTAATTATCATGATTATAAACAACTTTATATAGATAAACCAAAGAGGTATACAAAGACATAAGAGGAACCATCATGGTTTCACAGAAGGCAGTTCCCATTTCTTCCTGCATTTCCTCATATTAGCCACCACAATACAGTCTTAGCCTTCAGGGTGAGGACACAACCCCTCAGAGTTCTAGTAGTTGCCTCCAAACTAATTTTTAATGCAACAAAGGAGGAAAATTTAATGTTAATTACATCAGCATGAAACCAAATTTAGCTTATCTCCTGGACCACTTACCCCAAAGGGGGAGGTGTAACATTTACTTTTTGGGCACCCTTGATTTAAGGCAAGACCGATGAATACAGTACTTCTAACTGGGCCTGTAGAACATGCAAACTTTTAATCAGCTACCGCCCTCTGCTGATCCCCTGGCATCGCAGCAATTACTAAATAAACTTTCCATCCATATACTTTTTTATCCTGTAGAAAGTAAGGAAAATGACCTTGACGGCGCTATGCAAGTTCTGTTACCAAGGAAACAAGGGGTAAAATATTTTTAAAGTCCAGAACATCCAGATAACATTCAGAAGCAGCTCAAACGGACCCCTCCCTAATTCACTGAAGTATAAGGGGACAGGGGACACTGAAGTATACAGGGACCATCAGGTTCCTTATCCCCAACCTGCATGGCTGTTAATCCTCAGAGATGGAGAACCTGTGCCAGGAGCAAAACATCACAGGAGGTATTCCAATGTGGGTCCCTCCTCCTTTTTCTAGATGTACATAATGTCCATCCATGTTGTCCAGCTAAGGTTCTTATGATAAATCCTTCTCTAAAGATGTCTTTAAACCACAGTTCCAATTCTTCCTTCTTTCGTCAGAAGCAGAAAACATACACCTAAAATCTGTGGAGGCTTGTTCCACATCTGTATCAGTAGCCAGCTCAATAGCTGAATTTTGGTGGGTTTCAGAATAGATGTAGCCTGTGCAGTGGCTCTTGGTGGCCAGTTCTTGCAGCGCTGGACTACGGTGGCTGTTGGTCTGCTGGTTCTTTGGAACTTGGAAATGCCACTGCTCTACATTTCTTGGCCGTTTTGCTTGGTTTGGTGTGCTGCTGAAATCCCATCTGTATTGGCATTTCTGTGAGCAAGTTACTATGAAAACATCTGGTTCAGCTACTTTCAAAGAGCTACTTGCTCTTTTAAGAGGTAGGCAATGGCCTTTAAGCAGAAGGAACAAGCCACCATCTTTGGCACCACCAAAGATTGCCATGGGTTGCTTGGAGAACAAGGCCAAGAAATGGGCTGTAGAGCTGCACAAAGCTGGTTGAGTTGCAACAAACTCAAAAAGGTGCTGGATGTTTGCATCGCTCTGCTGGCTGTCTACCTGTACGTAAAGTACAAGAATGTGGGGTTCAGCCTGCCTCCCCCGCTTCTCTCAAGAAGGGAAGCAGGAATGCTTCTTTGGATCAAGCTGATTGGAAGAGGATTGACTTTGGGAGTTGCTTCAAGAAAAGGATGGAGTTGGATCCAAGAAGCACGAAGTGAGGGCAGATGTTGCAGCAAGAGCTGGTTGGCTTTGCTGAGCTCTGTCTTATAACCCGAATGACAAGGAACGTCTCAAAATCAATGTGACTTCCCTGGCCAAAAATGGAGAACAGTTTGATAAACAGGAATCTAGTCACAAGGATCTCTCTTTAGAATCACAGTCAAGCCCAAGTGTTGGTAAAGTTTATAGCAATAAATAATTGGGGGTGGGAGGCTGTTTCGTTTTACTTGCAGTGATTTTTCTCATTACAGTGTTAGCATTTGTCTCTCCCTTAAGAGAGTCAGCTACACATCTGTGCTTCTAGTGGAAAAGCCCCTAGTGCCAAAGGTCTCAGTTGCTCAGCATAACCAGGATGGCAAAGAGGAGATATTCCCCCATCTGGTTAGGATCAGAGGATAAAAAGAATTAATAAACATTTATTCCACAACTCCCGTAATACCAGAACCGGAAAAGCCAAGAAACCGGTATGATTTAAAAAATGGAAAAAACATAAGATGGGTCACATTCTCACCCCCCTCCCCAAACTAAGCAACTGTAGCAACAGATATCTGCAAGGAATGTTCAAAACGGTCAAGATGCAGCCGTGATGTTGCAGCTGAAGTTATGCCTGATTTTTATGTGCAACATACCTTGCAGAGATCCTTGGAAGACAAAGACCTTTGTGGGCAGGAATACAACTAGGGGTAAGGGATGTGTGTCAAGCTCCAGTTCTAATGCTGAAAATAAGCACTTAAAGCACCACCCTGTATCATTTTGAGTTACTTTCCACTTGCCGGAAAGTATGGAAGTTCTGCATGGAAAGGTAGATTGTATTCCCACCACACACAAAGTGGGTACGGTCATCCTGCAACGACTCCGATGCATTCTGAGATCCTGGGGAAAATTAAAGAGGGCGGTCCTAAACTCATTGCCCCTCATTTAGTTTTCCACAGGGTCCCAAAGTGGTATTATCAAGGGACCGTGTCAAACCAAATGCAGCTTAGTTGGAGTGATGGGATCTGCCTAACCAGAGATGCCATCTACTAAAACGACTCTTAATTATGGGCAAATTGCAAGATTTGCATGACATGCTAAACTATAACCAAACCACAGTCTGGATTTACACAATGTGGCTGCCACATTTGAGGCTCCTTGTCATACCAATACAGGTAGTCCTCCCTTAATATCCACTCATTCAGTGACGGTTCGAAGTTATGACGGCACTGAATGAGGGAGGACTTACAACAGGTCCTTGTAGTTATGTCCCCACGATCATGTGATCACGATTCAGGTGCTTGGCAGCTGGCTCGCAGTTATGACATTGCAATGTCCCACAGTCACATGATCATCATTTACAACTCCTCAGGAAGACCAAAGCTACTTTTATTGAAATTGGCTAAAATAACTGAATCTTTAATCTGTCTGATGGTGCTGGACTTCCTCCTCCTTTCTCAAACTATGCATTTAGAGGATGCTGGTTTGAGAAAGCGTGAGAAAGGTTAACACCCCCTGAACCTGACACAAGGCCTCCATTTAGCCTGGCAACAGAGAGCAAGCAAGAACTGCTGAGGTGCCTACAGCTCGAAAAGTAACATCCTATTTGTGTCCTTTACGCTCAGCAGTTATTATTCAGGAACCGATTAACTCAAACTGGAGGATCTAGTTAGTTCCTGTAAGTACTAGCCACTGGCAGAGTTCTTCAACAAATACATGGGGGGAAGGACTGCTTTGCGGATACCTCCTTGTTTCTGTCCATCACAGTATCCTGTCTCAAGACAAACGGTTTTGTTTTGAGAAAAGAGTGTGTTGCATTTTTTAGCACTGGTTTCCTTGCATCTTTAGGGGTTTTCCCTTGATTGTATACAGTAATCAAAAATTAAAAGACAAAGCGTGTTACAGTGACACTACTCCAGGATAGGCAGTTCTGCAAGGAAGCGTGTCACTGTATTCAAGCTATTTACAGTATCAGTCACCAGCGTGAAAGCAGAAACGCGCAAATGGAACAAAAATGGGTGTCTTCTTACCAAGAAGAAGAAATCTGTTTATAAATCCGCCTTCCAGAGGCCTTGAACTCCCAGAATTCGGAGCAAGCATGGCTGTAGACTGCTGGTGGTAGCAACTGTCCAGTATTTCAGTCTATCTTCAGCTGTTGGAGACCGAAGTGTTTACTTCCGTGATTTGCTAAATTTGTTTACCGTCATCAGATTGCTCTTTGGCAGTGTTTGTCAACCTCAGCAACTTTAAGAGGTGTGGACTTCAAACTCCCAGAATTCCCCAGCCAGCCTACTGGCCGGGGAATTTTGGGAGTTGAACTCCACACATGTTGGCTGGGGTATTCTGGGAGTTGAAGTCCACACCTCTTAAAGTTGCTGAAGTTGACAAACACTGCTGTCTGGGAAAGAAAAAGAAGAAGAGAAAAACACTAAAACCAGTAACCTCAATTAGCAGATAACATCAGGGTTCTCTGTTTGGGTTCTGTAAGGAACGGAAGAAAATTTAGAAGCCTTTAACAAAATGAAATCACTCTGGATCTGACAGCAGGTATTGAAAATAAAACTGCATGCCCTGGAAACTAACTATGAGAGGAGAGATATCGCACCGTGGGATGTTATTGTCTGTTTTACAGTATAGAAGAAAATGAGGGATGGTCTCAAGGGGCTCCCACCCATATGGGCAGAGGTGGTCCTCGTGAGAGATTTTCCTATGTAAAAGCTACTAAATGGGGGCTACCGTTTTGCCCAGACCCAACTGCAATATAATAAGACCTGTTACAAAACCCCAAAGGGATCCTTCTCTGCTCGCTGGCTAACCGTGCAATATTGGCTCTGCTTATTTCGAAAGGTCCCCGCCCTGAACTTGAAAATGGAGACTTTACTCTAGAAAATGCATGCTGGTGCACCGTGTTCACACGCACCTCCGGAGCCTGACCCACGGTTTCATGCTGCAGTTTAATCCCTTCCCGGCTCTGCTAATTGCAGCAGAGAACACCAGCTTCTCCAGCGTTGCACGAATCCAGATGCTGCTGGCGTGGCTGCAACAGCTGTCCCCCCCCCTTTTTTGTCTTTTTATTTTGACTCCTTGAAGGAAAACCAAACTCCACAGAGGCTGCCGGGAACAAGGTCTGGGGTACTTTAAAAGAGGAAGGGGCATGAATGTGCCCCAGGGCCTGCGTTCACGTAACATGTTTAACTCAGATAACCATTTCCTAAGTTTGTGGCATAGCCTAAATCAAAGTAACCAAAGGAATAATGCTGTAATGATCATGTGAATGGGAGCCAGTTTGGGGTAGTGGTTCAGGCACCAGGCTAGAGACCAGGAGACTCTGAGTTCTAGTCCTGCCTTCGGCACAAAGCCAGCTGGGTGACCTTGGGCCAGTTCCTCTCTCTCAGCCCTGGGGAGGAGGAGGCAAGGGCCAACCACTTCTGAAAACTTGCCAAGAAAACTGTAGGGACTTTATTGTTATTACCGAGGGCCAGGTTGGTGCAGAGCGGAGTTTCTGAACCTTGGCCAACCTGTTTAATAAAACTATCTCTTACCACCTCTCATCACACATCTTTCAGAGGTTGGTCGTTGCGCTGCAGTTCCACTCATCTCTGA